GACATATGCACTTCACTCTTGCAGTGTAATTTTATAAATACAGGTTGAACTAAAGCTGAACCTGAAAATTAATTCAGATTTTGCTGTCAGAAATACCAGGGGAGACTACTCTTTCTAATTAGGGACTGATGCTGAGTTTTCCAATGCAATATTTTTCAGGCAAACCTTTGGATTTCTCAAGTCCTTACCAACCTTTGAAATTTTAAAGAGTCACTGTCACTAGGCAGTTCCTGCTTAGCATGTTCTGAATCACCTCTTTATATTTTCTAAACTTTCTCTAAATGAGTATTTTTGCTCCTTTCTACATACAAATTTGTATCTCCGATGCTCTTCTCAACTTGTAATACACGAAGATTTCTCTTTAAAAATACCCTAAACCACCTTGTAACATCTGCATGGTCACATGGATTTCCTGGGCAACGATCAGATTCTTGTGGCTGAGTTAAACACTTGGCATTTAGCTTTTTTATTCTTCCCTCTGAGAAACTAGGTTATTATTGCTTCATAAAGCAATGCCTGGATAGTACTACTAGCTAATTAATGTCTATTTAGTGGAAAAGGCTGCCATCTTCCAGCACCTACAGGCATTTTTTCTTCCTCTCCCTGACAAGACCAGATGGCATCCTGGCCAACCTTCACCCACCCTTCACAAGCCATGCACTTGATTCAGAAAACGCAAACACATTGCCAGCAGCTTGGGAAACACATTACCATTACAGCTGGACAGATGCTAGAAAAGTGCTGTTTACTGTCCCCAATAGTGGGAAAATTAATGACTTCAATTAAAAGATACAGATTAAACCTCTACCAAGATACAGTCACCTTTTCATCTCTGTATGCTGTTGGGGTTTTTATTTTCTCGAATTTTCCAGCTCTCGTCATATAACAGCGTGGCAAACAACTAAGAGAAATATATGGCCAACAACACATAACAGGCACTGAGGTCTTCTGTATCTCACTGCACCATTTAATCACAGAATGAACCCACTCATGTACAAAGGAAGGGTCCAATTACCTGTATCAGTGCAGTCAGACCAGAATATTTATCATTTTCAAGATCAAGCACCAGTAGTCCTAGTAAATTGTCTTCCCAATGTGGTTTTTTTTAATGCAGTGTTCACACTAATTGATGTTCCTATTAAACTAAAATCTCCCCCAGCTCCTGGCTACTGCATCAAGGATATGTTTCATATCCTGTCCAATCCATCACAGATCAAAGAGACAAAAGGAACAAAACATGAAATACTATTAACCAACAGCTACCTGAAAATAACATGAAGTTCACTTAACTGGAAACAGAAGCATAATTTTTCTCTCAGAAACACTCCTGCCTCAAAGCTATTATATTCACACTATGCTTTAACCAAACAAGCTTATGATCAAAAGCAACACCTAACATTATAATTACTTTTAGATCATGTATTCTGTTCTCTGCTTTCATTTATTGAAATAATATAGGGGATTATTCAACTTTGAATTTGTAGCTGCATTCCTCACTTGTCAGAAATAATTACTTAATCTTAAATAAGTTTTATATGTGTATATATATACATATATATATGAATATACACACATCTGTATGTGTGCATATAGTGATAACAGATACATTCTAAGCATCCTGAAGCTATATTATGACCAGCTGTGTTCATACCCTGTTTAGGAGAAAAATGACCACTGAGAAAGCACTCCCAGAGAGCCAACGTGACACTTTCACACTAAGTCCCCTGCCATTTGCCCCAGGTTATAGGATAATGCATTTTGAGCTGTACAATATTTCTGACTACATAAAAAACATTGGACGCTGATGACTTTTAGAAGATCCATTAGAGTTCTGTGTGCAGGAGGAATTGACTCCTCTCTTCTCTGCCATATTCCTGTTCAGGAATTTTGCTGAAATTGTTTTTTCAAGTTCTATTTGAAAAATAATTTCTGAAGGGACAAATCTCTGCAAAATACCTGTGAGCAACTTCAGCTGTCAAAATATAATAGTGCTTTCTAAAACATTTATTTTTTTCTTTAAAGTGCCATGTTAGAGAGACTTCTTAAGATTGCTAAGTAAAACATCCAGAAGCTTGGAAATTTGGGATCTCACATCATACTGCAACCCCGTCACACTCAGATGTTATGACAACTTTTAGCACATTGCCACTTTCTATTTTCTTCTACTGCACTCTTGCCTCAGTATTTAAGTAGAAATCTGCATATCCTCCCACATATGCACGGCACAGCCTCATGATTTATTTCTTCCACACTGCCATAATTGTGCACAGAATGTAAAATTATTAATGTCCTGCTAAGCACCTCTGAGAGAGTCTCCCCCATAGTATCTAGGTTTCTCATTACCATGAAATTTACTCTCACTGTGCTCCTTTAAGATGAGGTTGCAATATTATCTGTATTCTGCAGCTGGGAAAGCAGGCACAAACTTTCCATTCATTTTAGTAAGACAACCTGAGGCAACAGAAATCCTATTTCTTAGTTTCCAGCCCTCCACACTCTTTCAAAAGCTCCTTGTAGTAGCCTCCCAGTAACCAAACCTACTTAACAGTGGACATGCACAGAAAGAGAAGCCTATGGTTAACCGGACACTTGCGAAAAGTTTGTTGTAAATCTTCACCATTTAGAAATTCTGTCATGGGTGTTGAAAAGAGAAGCCAGTCCCACAGAGCATCATTCAGCTGTCTTAAATTTAATACCTTGCTGCTTCCACTGGGGTTCCCCTGACTCATTTACCATATACCTTTCACCTTGGTAGCAAGTGAGGCAGTATCTAAATATATTTCAGAGCTTGCCCACCCATGTAATAACCTGCATAAACCCAGAATTCTGTGTTCTGGAGAGAAACAGCCACAGACCCTTCCCCCATGCCCCTAACCTGTCACTCATCTCTTACCTATCTGTACCCCATGCTCTCCTCCTTTTCATTATTCCCATTTTGACTCACCAGACACCTGGTCATCCTCTGTGCCCTGAACAGCTATCATCCTTTAACCTGCTCCCAAAGTTCCAGCACATGCTCCCTTTTTGCTCCTTCTCCTTTGGCTCCTGCAACTTCTTTTCCTTGTTCCTTCATACACCTCCTCCTGACCATCTCCATCTGACCATGACTACTGCATCCCTTTTCTCCTTGCTGCTGGAGATCAGCTAATGAGCAGCACAGTCCCTCTTTCCTCAGCCTGTGGGCAGATCTGCAACAGGAATTAAGCACAGAGGAGCATAACTCCTCTGTGAGCATGTACAGACAGAAACTTTTGAAAGCAAAGCTCTTAAATCTGAGGTGTCTCCAAAGTGTACGAACAACCTCATCAGCAGGGCAAATTCAGGGGTAATTTTCAAGACAGTAAAAGACGTCTCCCTGGTATTATGATGACATTTTACTAAATGTCAAGCTTCCAAAATTTCATTCCAGTGAGGTTCATTCCACTACCAGCACTAACACATCTCAGGAAAGAACCACTGGATTTATTTATTTGAAATAAGGTCATTTAAAGGAGCACATTTCCCACAAATATTGTCTTCAGAAAAAACTGGCTGTTTTGTTAAAGTTTTTACTAAAAGAAAAAGAATCAGTCATAGACTGAAACTTAGCATGAAAAATTTCAGCCAAAACAAAATTTGGAGAAACTGTAAAGAAAACAATTCCTCATAGTAGGCAGTGACAGGGACACTTTACTCTGAGCAATGCTACTAGCTTACTTTGTATTTAATAAATCTACAAAATGTAATTGTTACAGCTAAGCAAACATTTCCAGTCATGCTGATGTAAACAAAATCACTCTTCTTATCAATAAGAAATTAGTCCACATGTTCTCACCATTTCTACACACTGCCTAAAACTGTCTAAGCATCATTTTTCTCACAGCTTTGTCAGCTTCAGATTTTGGGTCCTACCATTCCAATCTATGGAAAAATGAATCTGAATTCAGCATTCTTCACTTTGCAAAGAATAAAAAGAACTGATCCAGAATCCCCCAGGGAAAAAAACCAGGCAATTTTCTCCTGGCAGTGCTACCTTGATAACCCTTTCTTGCCATGACATCTCCTCCTGACAATAGTTTCCAGTTAGCTGGAAAGTTTCCAGTTTGTTCATGGCTAGACAGCCTGCCATCCACACTACACCTGTCCTGGAGCTGTAGGCTCTGCCTCCTCTGTGCCTTGCAGCTCTCTCCCACACACATCCTGATAGAAAAAAAAATCGGAAAAAAATGCCACATTGTCACTATTCCTAATTTTTCTATATTAAGTTTTAAAACCTGTCCATAGGGTTGGTGATACAGTAGAACTAGAAACATAATTATGCATACTTGGGGGATAGGGAGAATAGAACCACAAAAAACAAAGCCAGAAATAGAGTTGTGACAGATGTTCCCCACATAATCTTTGGTAGTGATCCACTGATGGTTTTGAAAATCTAAAATGAAATAACCAAAAAGTTGAGAAAAATTTCTAACATAGGTAACCAGAATAAGAGATATTTTTAAAATCAATCTGAACATAGTAGATAGTACTAAGGTGATAAAAATTTCTTTCATGGGGAAATTATCAAAAAGAAAACCACTGTACAGCCATCCTATATGGTTCAAGATTATATGAAAACCATTTCCTACATCTTTGATAGAAAGCAACAGTTCTAGAGATTTCTGCTTTATCACATTGCATCAGAGCTGCCTTGAGGGTGAATGCTTTGACCTTTCACCAAACCAGTTGCCAAGATTTTCTTGACTGGAGCTTCAGACATCCAAAATAAGGTATTTTCTTTCAAAAACTTGGATTTAGGTTTATTAAGAGGGGAGGATGCCCCAGAGAATGAAACAAAGGCAAGAACATAAAAAAATGGGCAAAGAGGAAGAACAGAAGGGAGAAGCAAAAGAGAAGTAGCAAAAAGTATTTATAATTCCAGCATGTCGGCACAATTCATTAAGCTTAAAGGAGACATTAGGGGCTGTCTGTGGTGACAGGGACAATGCATCATCAAGCAGAGAAATACAGAGGGCTCTTACTGCAGCATATGTGTCTGGCTGGCGTCCTTTTGTTTGTCAGGTACCTCGTAGTGGGGAGAAATCTTTCCAAGGCCACTGTCGCTCAGCATCCTCTTCCGAACTGCAGGGTTCCACCGATCTGATATCCTAAGGAGAGAAGGAGAAGGAGAAAGGTATTCACACCCCTTGTGTGCTACTCTTCGAAGCTGTCTTATGCCCATTGGTTCCCAGCATTTTTGAGCCCATAGCAAGTTAAAATAGATTAATTAGCTATGAGTACAATGCTGCTCCTGAAGAGGAATAGAAGCATTTCTGGCCTGTTAAGAGGATGATAAGAAACAGAGACACTGCATGGTCATTCTTAAACACAAAGGGCTTCAGGGCCTTACACAGTGGAGTCAGAACTCTGACCATGCAGAGAAGTTTGTAACTCAATCATTAGAGATTCATGGCAGGATTTAGGGTCAAGTGGTGTGACATGGTTAAAAGGTGCTGAAGTCCACTAGTCCTGTTGTGTGCTCTAGGAAGCCTAATGGAATAGATGTTACACTACTGTCCTCCTGTCATTACCATGGCTGGATTTGTTCCTACCTAATACCCACCCTCCCACATCTCCTAATCCTTCAGACAAGGGGACCAGAAAGAGATGCCCATCACTAATATAACTGCTGAAAATCAGATCCCAGCAGCACTCACCCAGTTGCCTGCTCCACTACCAGGTCAGGCATTCCTGGTGGTGTCCCCACCTGCTGAGACATTACCATCTCTGGGTCCAGAATAAAAATCTCATCCTGCGAAATTTCAGTCACAAAGTGCAAATGTTCCTGTTGGAGTGACACAAGCAACAAATAATGAACCTGCAGCATCACTGATCTCTCAGAGTACCCAGCCGCCCTAGAATGAGTTGAGTGCATGTCAGGCTCTCTGAAGAATATTCAAGGGACTCTGTGTATTTAAGTGTGTACTCATATACACACACAAATTAAAATCAATGCCATAGAAGTCACCAATTAATATGTTGTGGATTTCAAGCCAAACAAGATTCCCCACAAACTAGCTGCACCCTCACAGCACCGCTTTAAAGGCTGTTACGTGATGACTATGCTATTCTGATGAAACCTAGAGGCCTACCCATAAAACTGAGGTTTACATTTTGAAATGAGGACCAACACCTGAGGTCTCTTCTTTGATGATGGTTGACAGAACTCTCCATTGTTTGGGTGTACTCGTCCAGATCTCCACTACTTGTACATTCTGTTTTCACATCTCTGTTACCAAAGTTCTCTTTCTCGATCCTTTATTTTTGTTACGGACACGGAAGGCTTATTATTTTTCAAAATAAAACAAACGCCTGTCTATGTAGGCAAATGGGCAAGAAATTTGCAACTCTTTGTCTGCTGGGACCTGTGGAGGCCTTGAAAGGCACTCTCAGTTAGAAAGATATGAGAGGCCTCTCTCTCAGTTATCTCCTTTTGATAACAAATCCTGTTCTATCAAGTCAGAACAATCCCTGTCTTGTTCCAAACCTGTGCCCTCTTCCTGTCTGTCAGCCTTTTGGTCACTCCCACCCTGTTTCCTTGTTGGCCCCCATGCCCCAATCCCACTCTTGTAGCACCCCCATGCCCCCTGGTAATTGGTCTCTCATACTATTTCACCCGCCCCAAAACCCCCATGTACTTAACCTAGACTCTCAGACCATTGTTTTTGCCTTTGCCTCCGAACTCTGGGACTGTGCACACGCATGGCTGAAATAAACATCTCTTTGAAACCCCTGCAAAGGCCCTTCCTGCTGCTTCACCTGCTTTGCCTCAACAACGACCCTGACTACAACAGGGACCAACACATAATATTAATTTTTTTCCCCACAGAATCACAGGATGAAGGAGTAGGCATTAAAAATGACCATAAGTACAATGTCAAATATTAGAGAAATGCAGAATAAGCCAGAGACAAATTGCCCAGTTTAATCTGTAGCAGCATCTTCTTCACCCCTGCCTTCCCAATGTTAGATTACAAAAACAAACCATTTATTTGACTGTGCGCAAAGAAGTCCCACAGTATCTACATGCAGATACTGAACATAGGAACTCTGAACTGAAGTCACAGCTCCTTCTACTTGAGCTAAATCACCAGCTGCTTCTGCTAAGAAACAGTAACATGTCCATGTGATTCAGAAACAGCTTACACAGGTCTCAAGGGGACCAGATGCAAACAACCACAGTGTGAAATCAACAATTTGCACTTAATGCTGAGCCACTAATTGGCCTGTTCTGGCTAGAAATCAGAAACACCAAAAGCCCTGTAAAATTTTCAGTGTCTTTTAGGAAATATATTCAGATTGTCATATCTATGCCACAGGTCTGAATCCAGCAGAGATACACATTGTTTTGGGGTTCCTTGTGAATATTTTATGCATTTCTGTTCATAATTCTCAAATTGTAACAACAGCTTCAACAGCTATTTCATGGCACACACACACATAGGATCAAGAATTCTGGTGCCTAAAAACATCAGTGAAAAGATAAATATAAATATAAATATAAATATAAATATAAATATAAATATAAATATAAATATAAATATAAATATAAATATAAATATAAATATAAATACATTGGTGCCACACAGATGCCTCTGGTAAGACTTGATAGGGAAAACAATTGCAGAAAATTCTGATCTGCATCAGATTGGTATTAAACAGAATGGCAGATGGTCAGCAGACACAAGATGTGAATTAGATCAACTAAAAAACAGCGCAGAATTTTTTTCTCTACTTCTCATGAGACATCATGAGTAACATTTTGCTATATATAGGAAGAACGGCAGATAATTCATTTTAAGCTGCATTTGATGTAGACTTAAAAAAAAAAAGAAATCTATAGAAACAAAATACAAATAAGGATTTACCTGAGATCTGTCAATGCGGTAGAAACGATCAGCAGAAGTTGCTGCAAGACAGAGAAACAACAGCAAAAATAGTATGAGCAGGACTGCATGGACAAGATGGGCTGCACTAACATCACTACCTCATAAAACAACCCCTGTGTCAGGGAAGTCACAGTGGCTCCACAAGAACATGAGTTAATTCCTTATGTCCATGTGAGTGGTGTGACTCGGGTCAGTACTGTAACCAACATCTTTGTCAGCTATATGGACAGAGATATGGAGCGTGCCCTCAGTGAGTTCCCTGCTCATACCAGCCTTAGTGGAGCAATGAATGTGCTGGAGGAAAGAGATACCAACCAGGGGCACCTTGACACGCTTGAGAGGTGGGCCAGTGTAAACCTCATAGAGTTCAACAAAGTGCAAGGTCCTACACAGGAGCCATGGCAATCCTATGGGTAGAGAAGTGATTGAGAGCAGCCCTACAGAGAAGGACTTAGGGGGTGATGGCTGGTAAAAAACTCAGCATGAGCCAGCTGGGTGCAGTTTTGGCCCAGAAAGCTAACCATGTCCTGGGCTTCAGTAAAAAGGAAAGCGGCCAGCAGGTCAAGGGAAGGAATTCTCAGCCTCTACTCTGCTCTTGTGAGACCCTGCTGGGAGTGCTGTGTACAGTTCTGCCTCCCCCAATACAAGAAGGACCTGGAACTGTCAGAGCAAGTCCACAGGAGAGCCAGGAAGTTGATAAGGGGACTGAAGAACCTCCCTTACAAATACAGACTGAGAAAGTTGGGGCTGTTCAGCCTGGAGAACAGAAGGTTGCATGGAGACCTCAAAGCAGCCTTCCAACACTTGAAAAGGTGCACAGAGAGGCTGAAGACAGACTCTTTCTTCATCATGAAGTGTGGTGACAGGACAAGGAGTAAGGGGTACAAACTGAAGAAAGGGGAAATTCAGGCTGGATATTAGGAAGAAATTACTGTGAGAGTGGTGAGATAGTTGAACAGGTTGCCCATGGAGCTTGTGAATGCCCCATCCCTGTCAGTGTTCAAGGTCAGGCTGGGTAAGGCCTTGAGCAGCCTGGTTTAGTCAGAAGTGTCCCTGCCCATGGCAAGGGGTTTGGGTCTAGATGACCTCTAAGGTCCCTTCCAACCCTTAACATTCTATGATTCTGTGATATTCCTATCCCATTAAATGCTGAATTTAAAGATAAGAGTTAATGAAACAGTAGTAACTGAAAATATCAACTTGAAATAAATATTTTTAAAATGTATAAAACGGATTTCAGTCCTATAAGAAGAACTGATTACATTAAAATATGTGACAGAAAGAGTTGCTTTGTTCCGATGAGAGTATAGCAAACATATACTGAATTTGATGGGTCTAATGGGATAATTCAAATTCTGAATCTAAAGAACAGTGCTTGGGAGCTCTTTATAAATCAAATGCTCAGCTACAGATATTGACACTGAATTAGCAATATGTTAAAGGAAAATTTATGCTACTCGTGAAAAACACATGAAAATAGGGGGATTCACTAAATAAAGCACGTATTATGAATCTTGTCATACCCAAATAAGTCATACCCAAAAGTATTTATCATCTACAGTGTGCTTCATCAGATGCGATTTTTTTTGTATCTGCTTTGCATTTATTTGGGTGAGTGAAATCAGGTTCATTTACTCTGCAGTTTTGACACAAGAGCACAGAGATGTAGCATTGAAGGCTTTGGCACTTCACAGGAATATCAAACACTGAAGACAAAAAACTGAACACATCTATCCATCCAGCTTTCTCCAAAACCAAACAGATTCTCACTAAGGCTTTTATCAATGTCCCTCGTGAAAGACAAGGAAGGGTGATTAGAAATTGCCAAGGAGAATTTGGTTTTGTTTTAAGCATTAAAATTTTAAGTCTCTCCATGCTGAAGGTTTTGTAAAACCAGATGCCATCCATTTCAGCTACTAATTCCTGTGCTCTGGAGCCTGATGTAAAGCCCACATAAGTAATCTGCTTTGACAAAGTCTGGGTCAAAGACAAGTGCAGCTCTCCAATGCAGAGCTACAAGGAAAGGGAGGCACCTTTCTGTCACCTAAACATTGCAGTGCCTAAAGACCTGTACACCTGCAGAGGAACCGGGGTGAAAAACTCAGCCTTACCAGCAGCAATGAATTGCACAACTGGCTGCACTCTGAGCTCGGGCAGTGCATGCAATGAAGTCTGCTCATCACAGCAGAGACCCTGATAAACCAAGCTTCTAACCTGCCTCAGGGGAAAGCCTCTCTGTGGGATGAAAAAGTTACAGCAGATATTTTAATTGTTAGATGAAGGGCCTGTTTCATTTTTAGAGGGGAAAAGGGGGCTGCTTTTTTACCTGCACAGTGTAACAAGAAGGAACAGTTACTCCTCTCTAGTAATACACTCAGAAGTATCTTCCAAAGCACACAAGAAGCAGGCAGTATGCTAGGCACAGGAGAAGGGAGATACACTTACCATCTAGGAAGCACCATCTAGGAGAGAGCCTCTGAACAGAAAGCACTCTGGGGAAAGAGATTTCCTGGTCCTGGATAGGGCATGAAACTCACATTATTAAAAAACCCCAGCGAACTGTTTCTTCACTAAAAAGGATTATTTTTTAGACTGACTTTTTCATTTTGCTTTACTGACATTGCACAATGTGCAAAATCTATATAACCCAGGAACCAAATTAAATTACTGGTGAAGAATTAAGACCTTAATTAAGATCTTAAGTATTAAGACTCAAACAGGCTACCCCACATGTTTTTAGCCCTTATTGGAGAGGCAAAAGGGATCTAAGAGAGAAGGGGATGATCATGGCTCTCCTCCATGCTGCCAGTGAATGGTCAACCAACTTCATAAATCTGCTGCATATAACATTTAAACACAGATACATTTGCACAAGGCAAAACACAGTAGCATGGGTCTTTGGCACACGTAATTTTTATAGAGACAGATTCTACCCTTATTCACATCTTATCAGTACAATCAGCACATCTGTAAATGCTGTAAATTCAGGAACATGCTGGCTCAAGATTAAACTTTACTCCTCTTTCAGACAACAGACCACAAAGTAGTATGCCAAGTTACGAAGCAGGGAAAGAAAAAGTAAAAGCAACAGGGAGGGTTTTACTGGATACCATAAACCTTATTCTCATATACAGCTTATGGTATCCACCCTCTGAGTAACACAGAGATGGAAACAATGACAGCATAACAGAAAGTGAACTATAACTGTACATGGGGAGCAAATAACACATCTCAGGGATTTAATAGAATCAGATTGAAAATACAACTTTGTCTAACACGGGCAAACAGACTTGTGGGATTTTTAGGTTTGATTGTATTGCCACTAGAGTGCTTGTCAGAAAATCAAGGATCTCTGAAATCCACTAGGCTTGCTGACATTGTTGTATCTACATGCACAAGCTTTATGTATCTTAATATTTAGTCCACTCTGTATGGAATGGAGGAGACTGCAACACAAAGGAGAAAAGGAAGAAAACATCCAATGGTTGTACTAAAATGTAGTTTATAAAAAGAGGAGAAATGAGTAAAATTCATAGAGTACAAAATGCTGAGAAAATTAAGATAGGAATACTGCTGGTAAATGTCAACTCAAGTCCAAATTGCACATTGTCACATACTCCCTCCAAGACTTCATTACAGTTCAACCACAGAACTAGCTTGCAAAGTCTCAGGTCCACGAGCATGATATTTTGTGAGCATTAGAGAAGCAAAACAGAATGAGAAAACACTCCAGTATATTTTTTCTCATTTGCACCTGGGTTTGCTAATATTTCTGCTAACCCTCTATGTTTTGAACTGCAGAGGAATCATGCCAGAGAATTGCATTTATGAGACTTAAAAGTACCCCTGAGACCTTATTAGTGAGGTATGAAGACAGTTCCATCAGCTAAAGCACCCTATTCATGCCCTTTATCCCCCTCTTTTTTCCATTTCTGTAATATGTAGAAGGATACCAAGAAATATGGAACAAACCTCAAATTAACCTAATGAGACAGTTTGCAGAAATGACCCACTGAGGGGAAAAAAAAAAGAATCCTAGACAAACAAGTACCAAAGACAAAACACAGAGGGGTGCATTTAAAATGTAGCATCATAAAAAGTGAATGGTGTGTTAGGGATTTCACACTGTTGTGCACTAAAGATGAGTAGGCAACTAATTTATATACTGCTGTAACTGCAGAGGTTAGAGCCAAGTATGGAGCTGATTTCTGACATTTCATACTCTATTGTGCATCTCTCCATATATACAGATTTATCTCTTCATTTTACCTCAGGCAGTTTCCTACACATGGAGCAGTCAGCAGCCACTTAGGTTAATTTATAATGAGTGGAACAGCCTCATACAGGCTGGTTTATTTTCTAGACACTAACACTGTTCTAAAACTGAGTTCGATGGAAATGTCAAGAATATGAAGTTAGCATTGGATAGGGAAAGAAAGAAACAAACCATGAACTGATATAAAGAAGGCAACTCAAGGAAAACATGCCAAATTGCATTTTCTTATATTGTCTGCAGTCAGTGCATCTATAGGCATTCTTGTGAAACTGGAATTCTGTATCACCCAAGTAATCATTAACCCCCAAAAACCCCCCAAAAAGTATCTGCAATTTCACCACAATTGGTTCCTGCAGGAATTCATTCCTGCTGATCCAACAAGACTTGCATTGTTTTTTCTAGGAAAATCCTATCAACACCATGCAAACTTGTCCTGTAACTCTAAGCACTGTGTCAACTGACCATAGTTTGTGCAAGTCTCCATGCTAATATCAGATAATTTCAGGAGCCAGTAGAGTTAGTCTCAGTTTACTTCCAATTTACACACCCTTCAATTAATTGTTTTACTGAGAGAAATATGCGTTCTTGAATGATACTTCCAACTGAAAGGACAAATTCTGTATTGCATAAATTGTAGAATAAAATTGCAAAACAAGAAGAGACCAATTTTAAGAACTATCCTCCTAAACTAAAACCTATTGATCTCATGAAGAAAATACACGTGCTTAGGATGGACTAAAAATTTACCCTGAAGATTATGTAAAGTAAAGGTGGATGACTGTCCTGTACAAAATTATTAAGAGGTTGGGCCTGCTAAAGCACTGTTTTTTTCCTCAGTGATAGACTTTATTACAACAGCTATGCAATACAACATGTCATTGTTAAGTTTCTCAGACAGAGAAACAGTTCTACTTTTTTCATCTGTCCTACAGGACACATTTTCTCATTCACTTCAATATGGAAAACACTGCTGTTGCAATTTCACTCACGTCATCATTCTCCACTAATTTCAAAGGTGATTCCATAAAACTTGTCCAAGAGAAAGCAGAATTAGCTTCCAATCTTTAAAGGTAAATACAGTAATCAGATAATTAGAAATTCATCTAACTTATGGTTCTTTCACCCAAGAACATATGGGTTCAAATACAGAATATCATTCCCATTTTTAAGCCCCTTTCTGTTCTGATACTAAAAGGAAAGCATATCTTACCTGGTAATGAACTCTCTGTGTAGCAGATGTTACTGACTGTAGGTCCTAGCAGGAGAATGAAAGACATGGCAGTGATGAAAAAGATTAAAGCAACAACAAGAGCTGTTTTTAGTCCTACTATCTGAAGTGGTTGGGCAAACATAAATAATTTTGCAAATATTTTTCACTGGTTTTAAGCATATGAAACAAACTCCACAGAAAAGTCAAGGAAAGCTCACTCAAAGTTTAGATTTGTATGCATTTGATCCAAAAAATAGTAAAAAAAAAAAAAAAAAAGAGAGATTATACTAATGTATCTTTATCACGTTAAAAAAATCTATTTGTTCAAAGAGAACTATGAGAACTATCTAAATTTAAAATATCAGCAACAAAATTAATACAAATATGTCAAAACTTTTTAAGACACTTTTGCAAATATTTCTGAGTGATTAATGCACTAAAGGAAACCACTGACAGTTCTCTCTATTTTACAACAACCCCACTCCAAGAAGGTCATATCAGAATGATCTCGACATTTAACAGAGTTCAGGCATCTAATTTATTTTAACAGATTTTGTCAAATAGTTATAGCACATGACATAGTCTACTAAAGAGCTGGCCTGCAGACCATTGTCCTCCAGCAGCATGCAAACCTTGGCATCTCTGCTTCCAGCAAATGGGACTGAGCCAAATCAAGCACACATATAGAAAAATTAGTACAAACCCTGCAAATGGTTGGAGAAACACAGTTCTTCCGTAACTACTATGGGTAATACAACCAAAATATCTAGCTGTGCTTTCTTCAGGAGTTGTATGTAAAACTGCCTGAACTCAGTGTGAGATCACATTTCCAGTCTGATGAGATCATCATCATCATTATTTCACTGTAATTTTCTGTACTGGATACTTCAAATATGCACCACCTTACAATATGATTTTATGTCTGATAATAATAGTCACACTCCAGGTCGGAATGTCCAAAAGTGCATTTGATGAAGGGAATCCTGGCTGAAAAGCAAAGAAGTGAAAGCCTGTAGTGAGATACTAAGTTTCATAATCAGACTGCAAGTGTGGAGTTCCAAAATCTATGGAAAGTCAATGGCTCCCAAAGAATTCAACGGAAGAGATGAGGTTCATAGTTCCTACATAAACTAGACCAACAATTTATATTTTTTTATAAATGTTAATATATAAATTGTTTATAAATGTAATTCCATCAGACTTGCAAATATTATTGAAGGCTATCACTAAGAGATAGAAAAAAATCAGAGACAATACATTAATGAAGATCCATTAGTTTATCACTAAAGGGATAAACTAAAGTTTATCACTAAGTTTATCATACTTAAGATGATTCAGGTAATGAGGCATTTGGAGTCTCCATTTCCCTGGGTGTATTGTAGAATGAACTCTCATGAAGCAAGGTATTCAAGAATAAGAACAAAACTATTGTTAGCTGCATGAACACCCGTTTCTGTGTCTTTGAAAATATCTACTTGATATTTGCTGTGTTTAGTGGTGTCTCAGATTACTCCATGACAGTATTAGAGAACGATTTTTGCATAATTAGACCCACTCAAATGCCACAGTGTTTATCCTTGCATAACACACTTTCTAATCCATAACTTATGTAATTTCAACAAGGTATGTGGAAAGTACTACTATTCCTTTATAAATCAAGGAGAAATAAACACACTCATCCACTTCAATTCTGTTATCATTTAAAAGGAATCAGTATGATTTTTAATTTCCTGTTTAGGGGATATTTTTCAATACTTACTTATCACATCTTAATTCTAGAATTTTGGGTTCAATGGTAGCCAAATTGCAATACTCTTGATACATGGTTGTTGCAATTATTTGACCTCTGCATTCAGAACTGAAAGAAGCATAAAATAAGTTTGCAAATGATAACTGAATTCACAAAAGCCTCACCTCTTGTAGACGGTCAATGTACATACGACAAGTCTCCAAGTCACAATCTCCTCGTACAACTATGATTCCTAGGGGAATAGCTGAAAAAATGAAAAACAAAGAAAAACCTCTTTAACTGAAGTCTCTTGAACTGTCACAGAGTTGCAATGGTTTCCAACTTTGTTTTTTTTAATATCCTCATGAATTTTTTCTACTCTCTAAACCTTTACAGTTATGTAAAGTCAAGAGCATATTATTCATCATTAGTTTCACTCATTTATAATTATCAAATATTTAATTTCCAACCATCTTTCATGGTTTCATGAAAGAAGCTAAAACATATCCAGTTAAACCGGGTACTTAATTTTCAGATCTGAACATCAAATATTATCAAATATTATCTGTAAAACAAAACAAAACATACCCCAGAGCAAGATTTATTGGGGGCACCTTTATACCTTGAAATAAGAGTGATATTTCATTCTCAGAATCCAAAGACTACAGATTTAGAGCAATGGAAGTCACTGCCTGATTTCAGGGAAAATTCTCCAACGCCAGGTTGGTTTGATATAAGGCTGCTTTTAAATCGAAACAGGCATTATTCCATCTACACACAGAATTGACATATTTTCTTATTTAGTCAGACAGAAAAAAAATTTTTAAAAGATAATTCGTGAAAATACAGCAAAACCTTTCAGGTTAGGGCAAATTTTTCATAACAGGAGATTGAGGTTCCCACATTTATTCTGTTCTTGCCAACAAAAAGAGTCCAAAACAAATTCAGAAAAAGAAAAAGAAATAATAAATAATACAATAAAAGAGAAAAAAGTGAGTCCACAAGAAAGGCACCAAGAGAGTCACCTACTAAGATCTCATTAAATAATAAGAAAACAAGTGAAAACTCTTGAGCACCTGATTTTGTGAAAGTGAATCACTGAATTTCTTTTTTTCTCCCTGAAGTGTCTTGATTCAAATAATGGCCAAAAATTTATGGGAGCAGCAGGAAACATATTTAAATCTCAGTATGAAATATTCCAGAAGCAGAACAGGATATCAACTCATAAACAATTTTGATAACTGGATAACAAGCAGCAACATAAAATCACCAAGGTTTGTGAGAAACAGAAAACACAATTGTGCTGCAACCCTTCCTGCTGTTGAAAAGAAGTTGATTAAGAGGGAGAGATATTTAAATACTGACAAGTTCTTCATTCTGATAAGAGAGCAAGACAGTGCTAAAAGATATTGGGGAAGAGAGCTCCCATTTTTCTGGTCCACCGAGGCTTGAAGCACAAAGAGGAGCTCAGTGGCTTCCAGGGAGAAGAGCTGGGGAGCATCTACTGCACTCGAGATCACTTTGGACCTCAGAGGCCAGTACAGGGCTCAACAATGCTGCCAGAATTGTGCTTGGAAAGCAAATTGAACAGCAGAAGAGCTATGGACCCAGGAAAACAGGAGGCAGGGTAAAAATACTGGAATAAGAACAAGAACATAAAGAAAGAATAGGCGGGAAGGAAGAGGCCACACATCTCCTGAAATAACACTGACATCCAATAATGATGACAATCCCCCTGCGCATTTTCAGAAGGGCCAGGTGGAAACAGTGCTCGTGGAGACCTCCCAGATTCTTTCACTACAAAACAGAGACTGAGAGACAAGGGAGTAGAAGGAAGGTCACAGACAGGACTTGCTTCACCCACTCCAGTGCTCTGGGTTACAGACTGATTCTCTTTGCTTAATATTTATTATTGCTTAACCTGCCTCGGCAGGAGTCTCTTAAGCTCTTTGCAGAGAGTTCTTAATGGCTATCTAGTTTCAATTGAGCAGATCCCTTTCCAACTCTTACTGAAAGAAGTGTTTGTTAAATTCATTTATAGCACTAAAAACTGAATTGTAGCAGGCATGGCTACACCTCCAACAGCTAGAGAGCACTAGGGAGTTACAGCACTGGTTCACAGATTGTCACCACAGATTTTTCTCTCTTCTATGCACTTAATGGGGACTAAAGTTTTGACCTGACAAAACAACATAGATAACAAAATTGGAATCCTTAAATATCACCATTCCCAACAAACCAAAAGAGAAGGATCTTAAAAAATTTGTAATTCTTAAGAAATCCACCAAAATACCTAAAAAGAAAAAGCAAGCATGCAATAGATATCTTAGTAGAGATACTTTGCGAGTCACATCTAATGATTGAAGAAGTAGTGATTCACAGCTTTAATTAAATTGTCATAGTGGTTCTTACTGGTCAAAGAACCATTCTGAAACTCTGGGCTTGTGTGACTTTGTCCTTAAAAAGAAAAGCATTGCCTTAATTGTTTGGAAACAATTTGTGAATTAGCATGATCTATGGTTTTGGGGTCAATGGCTAGCTAAGGGGTAATGTGTGGGGTGGGTCTCAAGTGGTTCCATTCCATATGGTTCATGGCCTTTAAAAAACCTTTAAAGTCATTACTGGATAACACCACAGTATATGCTAAACTGTTGCTTTCCAATTTTTGTTGTTGTTTGCTTGTTTGTTGCTTGGTTGGTTCCTTTTGCAAGACTCATTGGCTTTCAGCAAGAAAAATGTTCACAGCCCTCATTTTTATCATAAACCACAATAAACAATCAAAATGCACCACACAGTCAAGACTTGCAAAGTGCTTCACAACTCTGAGGAAACTTCTCAACTCTCTCAAGAAACTCTGAGGTTGCTTCTCATTCTACAAATAGTGCAATACCATGCAATAGAGGCAAAATGAGTTAATTTATGATAAATCAGTTAAAGGTCAAGTCAACGTATATTGTGGGCACTTTCATCCAGGACTAAAGGAGCCTCCACATTTGCTGTGTGGATGAGGATGTGGACAGTACAGAACTGTGCTGTGGGACACAGGGATTAGTGGATATGCCAGGAGAGAGGTGAGAGTGCAAACACATTAAGAGCACAGGCACTACAAAACTATTTTCCATGTACCCACACACTGTCCACTCCTGAGAATATATGGATAAGCCCACACATGTGAATATGCCAAAAATAAGGGATAGTCTCAGATCATGAGACAAGCCACAGCACTCAAGTGCCAGATATTTTTTTCCTGAGGTGTCTGCTCTTCTGGCCACTTGCTTCCATTTCCCAGTTCATTTGTGCTCCCTGAATGATGAAAAATTATTTTGTCCAGGCAGCTGTGATGAGCAGCAGTGCAAGAACCCCAGGAAATGAGACAGGCAAGACAGTTGCTTCATAATCTGAACCAGTACTGCAGGAAGGTTTTTGTTCCTAGCAACACTAACTAAAACTAAGGATTAGCAGGAGGAGGGTTGGGCAGATGCAACAGTATGGCCAGAGTGATGTTCTAATGAACTGCAAGATTAGGACTGATTTCCTAAGTCCTCATGAAATTAGCTATGGAATTCATAAACAACAAACAAATCTTCCACCTATTAAGTGCCCATTATGCTGAATACCTAGAGCTATTGAACTCTTCAATAGTATTGAGGGCACAAATGAAGGAAGCCCAAATATACTTACATATATTATAAAATTCAATTAACTTTCCTGTTTATTGTTATGAAAGGACTTAATTTGTGATCTTAATACCATGATTAATCCACTCAAATCCCTAACAAAACAGCCTTGAGACAGAATATCATAGTAGATGGGAATGGAGGAAAACTCATTCTAATTCTGACATACTTCAGGAGACACTGGACTGTAAATGTTTAATGTAACAAATAAAGGATCCTCACTACTAAATATGTCATAAGAATGTCATTTTCCTGAGGGGCTTCCATTGATACTAAGAATATGAAGGATGAAGAAAATTCATGGTAGAGAATTATAAAATATTGACATCTTAAGAGGTTTGGTTTTCGCCACTATGCTTTTAATAAAACTGAGTTTGTACAAAAGGATTTTTTTACCACACAAATCTAAGCCATGTGTCTCTTCCAATCCCTTCTGCTTATTACACTGACAAGACCCAATTCTCCCTAGGTTCATTGGTTACTAGTTTTTTCAGCCCACTTTCAAAATCCTCACGTATAAGGAGGTAAAACACAGTTGAATTTATCAGATTAAACCAGACCATGTTTGAAAAGGCAGTCATTCCCTCCAGTCTCTCAGTGGTTTCTCCAATACCCTGCCAAAAGGAAAAATCTGCCCAAGTCAAAGGAACCTGTGCCAAACACCACACAAAAAAAGAACAGATTATAGAAAATAATTTGAAGAACTGGGAATGGATATTGGGACTAAGAGCTGACAGCAGAGATCTGGATAAACAACAAATAAGTATTTAGGGTAAAGAAAAAGAACAGGAACCTGAGCAGTGAGGTCTGCAGAGACAGACTAAGGCAGGAAGGATGCGTGTGGGATGAGTTATCCAAAGGCAACAACCAGGACTGAAAAAGTAAGAGGAAATCAAATCAGAAAAGAACTAAGGAAACACACAAGTAGAATATGGATAGAACCACCTCACAGAAAGGCCTGCATGAGGAAAAAAAACTATAGTGTGATTTCCTGGAAAGTTTGAAAAGGAACTTAACATTCTTGCTTCTCCCCACTTCTCTAAGGCAAATATAAATTTGAAATACTGCCCATCTCATCTAGTTTAAAGAAGATGACAGCACATGACAATTTCCCACTAGCTCAAAAGGCAGAGGAGTGTACTGAATATGCCCTATGATGTGTCAGGACAAGATAGATTTAGATTAGATATTAGGAAGAAATTCTCAACAAGAGTGGCAAGACATTGGAATAGCTTCCCAGAGAAGTGGTAGATGTCCCATCCTTAGGAGAGTTCAAGGTCAGGGACTTTGAGCAGCCTGCTGTAGTGGAAGAGGTCCCTACCCATAACAATGGGTTTATTAGATGATTTTTAAAGATCCCTTCCCACTCAAATCATTCTATGATTCTATAACTCCAGGATATGAAATTTCAATGGCTTGGGTTTACTCCTTCCCCCAGCCTCAGGCAATAATGATTTCCAATATTTAATTCACTACTGGACTTATAATCCTCTGGCTTTCACTTTGCTGGGAGGTTTTAAGCAATCCATCCAACCCCTCTCAGTTTCAGGCCTTATGAAACCACTGTGATGAAGAAATGCCTAAATCAGCTAATGTGCACACAACACATACAGACAAAACAAAGTTGTTGGAGCAAGGTACTGACTTCTAAGCAGAGTGAAGGTAATGTTGTCTCTTATGGAACTTCTACCAGGTGCCCAAAGAGCACATCACCTAACACATAAATGCCCATTGGTGCATCCTTTAGAGGATGAAAGAGAAAGTTTGTAGCTGCACAGCCTGCCTCATCTAAGTCCATCCAGCTCAAAGTTGCTTCCCAATATAAGCACATTTCCTTTGTGGCTCATCAGGAAGTCTTCTGCTCCCTGATGACTTTTATATTACATAATCAGGATATAAATACCAAGTCCTAAGTGTTCACCCCTTCTTACTTAGCTAGTTGCTCAAAATCACATGAACTAGTCTCAAAATTAGCTTCACTTGTGCTATCCCTACGTTTTAAAGAGTCAGAATGCTTTTGATAGATCAAGGCTTCTAAGTTCATTTCTGGTATGAGCAAGCTACAGTATCACTGTACTTGTACATATCACAATGACTCACAAGCTAGTCACTCTGTGAACCCCCATGTATCTGATAAGCACTCCTAGAATTACTCTAAAACCCTCAGGTAACCCACAGATATTGGAAGCACACACATTATAGACATTTAGCTACAGATAATCAAAGAGACAAGAATGAGAGGTTAAGATCCCAACATGGATCATGCACACACACAGAGCAAGGAGCCTGCACAGAAAAGGGTTGTTAGGTTACAGACAGTCCAATCATTATACACACGAAACTAAATTTTCTCTCAAAATTTCTTTTGAGTCTAGCGTGTAATTTTATTCTAGAGGACATAAACAGCAGCTGCCTCTACCTAAAAGTAAGTGTGGGAAACACAGAGCTGATACAGGGCTGAAAGTTATTTCTGATACTGTCATCACTGCAATTGGGTATGATTCCTCCTTAATCTTAGTGGTACTGAGGAAGCTAAGATTATTCTCCAGGTTAGGGCACACACAACAAGTTCAGGGCAGTAAGGGCTGACATACCCTATTAAAAAATTCCACAACTGTTCAGTTACTGCTTATGATGAGTTATTTCTCTGATTTTTTTATGGTGCAAATCTGAAATGGTGTTGCTAGGAAGAAGTAAGAAGCACTGAAGATCACTAGGTCACTAGGTACCTTATGTTTGGTTTGTCTGTTGCCTTTTTTTTTAAAACATAATTAGTTTCTGCATATGCCTCCACTGCCAGGAAATTCTTAGTTATATTGGAAAGGAGAAAATAGGGTGTCACACAGAAAGATTTTACTGTCCTAAAAATAACTAAATTGTTAACCCACAGTGCTACTTTGGGTCACACATTCCCGCTATAACAGGAAGCCAGAGAGTGCACACAAGATAAGAAAGCAACAGAGGCAGAATTAAATTCTATCCACCTAGAAACATCAGTCCAGCTCATTTCTTAAGATAATCTTACTTATGGTCATTGTAATGTACAACTCTCATATTGGCCAGAGATGGTAAAGCTTGTGACTCAGGTGACAAGTGCTTAGGACATGAATAAGGAAGTGTTAGAAAAGACAACTACATTTTCAGTGAAGAACATTACAACATAACTAAAATGCCAACATATATCCCGTTCTTAAAATGCTGCATGGAAGCATTCAGCCCTCCTCACTGAAGAATCAATAAGCATCCTCTGTGCCATCATTAATCATCTCCCACACAATAATTCTGAGATGCTGACAGGAAAAAAGAAGGTGCAAGCGGAGGGAAGAAAGGGACAATTCAAACAGCATCTTGGTTAAATGCCAGCTGCATTGACAAGAAAAGCAGAAAACAACAGAAGGAGAATCAGCTAAGGACAGTCATGCCCTTCAAAGGACAAAATGACATTCTTTAATTTTTCTGGAGGCTTTCAAAATGAGGTGTCTACCTCCAGCAGAGTGAAGATTAATCTTCATGGAACAGTTTGTATCATGAGCTCCTCTAATTCAGGAAGTGCAATCTCAGGTGAATTAGTTGATAGATTCAAATCAGTATTTCAAGCAAACAAGGGGAGTAAAAATGATCCAGGTTATTACACTGAGGTCAGAGCTTTCAAAATGGTATTACGAAGACATGTAACAATCAAAAACCATAATGGGTTCTTTGCTATTTTTCCTTCAGGAAGAACTCCTTATTAACTGGCTTCCTTTTCCTGTTCAGATTGCTGTGAGATTCTGCTTTGTTCTCAAATTATTTAGGCAGGTCGAAGTGTTTATAATCCTTGCAGATGGAGAATATATATTAAGTGTAGCATTCTGGATTCAGTCGTAGGTATTCTGCCAAAGCCTCAGCTAGTACACAGACTTGGACTCCTGCAAGCATCTAGTGAGACACAAGAGCTACAGTCCTGCTGAAGGAAACCAGCACCTCTTCAGTAACAACTCCTCAGTAAAAGAGGCATTTAAAGTTATATAATATAGAAGTAGGTTTATGACCACCAGTGCATAGTGCAAGTTACATGCCCTCTCACAGGACATTCCTACTGCAAAGGCTAAGGTGAAGTATCTTTTCTGGTTTCTTTTAGGATAATGGGGATATCTGCTTTCTCTTATCCTTACAGTAAGTACTAACAGCAATGCACAAGCATTACTGGACAGTTAAAAGAGGACTGGTAGGAAAAAAACACTCAATGAAAAAATATCTGGGGAGAATAGTCCAGTCCAACTATGTTATATTATCAAGGTGGACATGCATTAACTTCAAAGAGACAAAAGGGTTTTATTACCAATGACCCATCAATATCCAAAAACAGTCATTTTAACTCTTGATGAACAAACATCTGTTTTTTGAATGATAACTTCTTAAGCCATTCCTAATATGTGATCACATCCCTACAAAACCTGAGATATTAGATCAGTTGGTGGCACTTTCTTATAGTGTTATCATTGTGAATTTTGGCAGGTAACAACATAAATACACAATTACCACTGCAGTGACAATAGTGTAAGAAGTTGTATATTTTATGTCATTTATGCAATGGCTCCTAAGGACAAAATACATGCTAACTACAGACACAAAATTTATATCCATAGTAAGGATGGATGCAGATAGGTCTCCTCAGATGGGAAATCCTCAAATGAACCAAGTTGTTTCTGACAATGTGTTCAATGTGGCCTGAAATCTACTCAATGCCAAACTCTGAATTTAAACTTGAAGAAAGTTCTCCTCCAGTGAGGAATAATCCTGATCCTGTTAAAATTTTTCTCAGTCCAGTGAAGAAGGTTGTGATTGCTTTAAATATGACCAAAATCCACTAACTTCAGTTAAGGTTGTCTAGACTTATATTAAAATTTAAGCCATTTAATTTCTTTTCTTGTAAGGGGAGATGGTAGATTGAGGAGGGGTGGGACTAAAAGAGTGACATGGAAACAATTTAACTATCTTCTAACAATAGGATAAGCAAACCAATTAAAAGGATTGTCATCCTGTAATTACCAGAGCACTCTGTATTGCAAAGAGAACTGAAGCTCTGTTGCACAAACAGTCATGCTTGTAATTTAATATGAATAATGAGCCAGATGCATAACAAGACTATTAAATTGTTATCACAAGCAGCCCTGTCCCTCATTGATTAATGACTCTGTGTCACCATGGAAAGGAATTCCATTTTTAAGTTCAGATTGTCATCATCAATGCTGCCAAAGCAACCACTGTCTGCTTTTGACTTACCCCTAAATATGGTAATTAAGTCATTAAATGAGGAAACAAAACAGTGATTATTCTCTGAAATGGAAAACTGAAGGCTGGTAAAGAATAAGGGTTTGGGGAACCCAGATTTGTTCCCCAAGATAAATATGCAAGTACATATGCAAGAACCATGTTCCAGGTCAGCGCACATTCTCAGTATCAAATATATCATGGTCTTCCACTCAGATTGAAATGTGATTCTAATCATAAAATCTGGTACAGTTTCATATACTAGAAACCCAGCAGAATCAACAGAAATATATGAATAAAAATACCCTGTGTGAAAAACACTTATTTTACAGTAAGCAGAGGGCAAAACATAGTTAAATAAGAAAGCAGGTAGAATGTCTATACATGATCCTTATAGAGGCTATTTATATAGAGGGAACACATTTGTACATATGCACATATAGATGAGCATACTCTCATTACTCATCCCAAAATGTATGATTGACTCTTTGTTGGGAGATTTGTTGTCGTTATTTCTGGGGTAGGCGTTGTTTTGATCAATGTAAGATTTGTACAGAATGTTCTACCAAGAGCAGCTTTTTCCAACTTACAAGCTTCCCGGAGTTTTTCCTTGTCGTAATGTAGCCCCTCATATTCTTGTAAATTAATCCTGTTCACTCTGATCCGCAGGCGATCTGGGATGGAATGAGGACTGCAAGAAAAGGAGAAAGCTTCTTAGACAAAGGTTTTTTCTGAGTTCTTACACCCCTATGTAGCTACCCTGCCCTTCTCCAGTTCAACTTTGTAAACATTCTTAGAGCCCTACCACAGCCAGTAGACAGAGCTGCCAACTTGAATTTCAAAACATGGAAAGATGCTTCTTGGGAAACATCTCGCTCAGAATAACCTCTGCCCATTAGAACATCCACACCACATTATTGAAGTATCCTGATCCAGCATCTCAGGTCTGAGAAACAGTCAACAAAAATGTGGCTAAGAACCAGATTTCTAAAGTTGTGAGTCTAATACTCAGAACCCAGGAGGACTTTTAAAAGCAAGTAACAGTGTGGCAACCTCACTTTTACAGATTTCAGCCTGATTTAGATACCTCAGTTATTGAAAGACTCAATAAGTCAGTATTTAGAAATTTATGTGTTCATATATTGGTAGAAATTTGTCCAGAAAAGCTTTCTTTTTCATTTCACACTAGTTTCTACCCTAAGGTAACCTATTATTTAATTTTTCTTAAGTTTAGCTGGATGCTATGCAAATCAATTTAGCCACACTTGCATCTTCCACTTTTAAAGAAAGATAGACAATCCATGCATTATAATGAACATAGTAAATGTCTGTCCTATAGGAACTCAGTCAGTTAAAAGTAGATTACTTATTCTATGCTTTCACCAAATGACTGTTTTCTGGTTTAATCTTGTTTATAACAGGACTCTGCCTACAGTGATATTTACTAATACACACTGCCTTTTGAAAGTCAAAATGCTGTGTACTATCATAAATATATGGGTTTGCTTGTTTCTTTGTCTCAGTTTTAAACTATTTGATTTACAGCATTTGCACTGCTAGTGAAGGACAAGGCACATCTCACAAATTTTACCTGTGCTACCTCATTTCTAAACACCGCTTCAAATGTGAATTTTCTTCACTAATGTCATCAATTAATCAGTGGTAGACTTATGTCCTATCACAATGGGCCTCATTTCAAACTCATTATCACAAAGAATAATCTCGATATCTCATGAAAGCAGGAGAGGAAAGAGAGGGAAACAGGATGACCTCACTCCAACATCTGCCAAACCTTGGCTAATTGCCTCCCTTCCAACCTACCTGTGAGAACAGGGTGGAGTTTGGACACCAAGGGAAGAGAAAGACAACATTGACTTCTGTAGATATGCTCACTCACTACCTAATGCCATGTAAGGAAGAAAAATAAATCTTATTTCTTAGCTTGAAGCCAATGGCAACCTATTGCATGCGCAGTATCACCTTCTGAGTCAAATTAGTCCTTTCACCTGAAAAGAAGTGAACAAGATCTTTTTCTTTGCTTGGAGCTGGAGGAAGAAAAATATCTAAAATGAAGAGCAAATCTATAATATATTTTTTTCTTCCAAGAACCACACACACACTCTCCAAAATTCTCTTTTAACTGGAAAATGTTTAAAAGGACATTTCCCATGCTTTTCCAAAAAGTATATTTTTTTAATATATATAGGCGCATTGTATATCTCTGACTTTGCTTCTGCAGGAGCAACAAGCACACCATCTAAAGTATGATGTATTTTCTGAGGAGAATTAGGAGCAGATCCAGTGTAGGAAAGCAATCAACTGGCAAGTACCAGAGTTTGATATTCTGTTCTGCCCTCCTCTCACACCATTTTTATAAAGACAGACTAAAACCACTACATAAGTAGGTTGTGTGCTAAAACATACAACTGGAGAGAAACAGAATTTGGCCTCTTGTCCATTTGAAAAGTTTAGTTATCTTAAAAAAATGTAACCTTAGAAACAGTAGCTTTCTATAGAAAATAAACTATTATCAGAAATAACAATGCCAGGAGTTCCTTTCTACAGAGTAGCAATTTATATACTTAGTCAGGTCCAGTCACAAGTAGCATATGCATAATACAAGTAAACATATATACACATTGTTAGGCAGGCGCGACACACAAAAGGCGCGCTATACTTCAGGAGGCTACTATCTGTTTATTACAATTTTGCACCATCTTTTATAGTCTCTATATAGTTTACAATTTCTTATTGGTCACAATTAGTCAACATAGCAGTAATTGGTGGAAAATTCTCCACCCCTATTCTTCCCAGAACTCTTCTAAAAATACTTTCCACAGCTGTGGAGTTTTTTTTCTCTGGTTATCTTCTTTTCTCCTTTGTCTCTTCTTAGTCTCCATGCCAACAGCCTTGGTCAGAAAATACTTCTCAAAACAATCCTCATTTCTTAACCCTCTCTAACCCACAGACCAGCTGGGGTCCTACTATAACACATTTCTAAAAATGTGTATTGACACATACACAAAGGAGACATTTATTCAGTAACTGAAGCTCTGTGGTTTTCTTTATCAGTTCTTTGCAAACACCTTTTGTTCTCTTAGAATAGCCATTGGCTGACACGTTATGTCACTAAATTTTTTTACCTATTCAAAACAAATTTGATTCTAAAACTCACTATTTGAATATTCATTTCTGGTGCTATCAGACTAGCAATGGACACCAGGGTATATTGTCCTCATCAGTCAAACTAATTAACTCATTCATTCACAGAACTCTATTTAATGCAGCTGAGCAAAATACTTCCACTATCAACACTACTGCTGTCTTCATAGACAATGCATCATAATCCATATTATTATACAAATAGATTAATTTGTCTTTGTTCAGACATACTCAGTATATGCAAAAACCAGAAAGATTAAATACATAAGCATATCCATGTAAAAGCAAATAACAGCATGATGAACTTCACTGAACACAAACAGTAGTACAGTATTAATAGAAATAGATGTCTTTGAATACTGTGTAAAACAACTTGCTCTTACCACAAAGAGGGGAAGAGAAGTTTTCCACATAAAGCAGCAATAAATAAATTTGGAGAGATTGCTGCACTTAAATTCAACCCAAAATACTTAAATTACTTACCTCTTACCAATTACTTTTTTAAATGGTGTATTACATAGTCAACAAAAAGTATTTGAAAGTACAGCTGAATGAAGTCCATTACCTCCTAAAGAATCTAATTAAGAACTCATTCCACAAACACATTAATCCACAGAATTAAATCCTAAATGTCATTTGCCCCATGAGGATGTAAATAAACACTGAGGTCAACTAAAACATTCTATTTGTTCATGTTTTTTATTTATAATTATTTCATTTGAGCACAAACCTAAATATGAATTTTCTCCAAGATCTTTCAGCTAGAAAACACACTCAGCTTTTGACGAAGTCATTACTTCCTCCTCTCACCCCTATTAATCATCCAGCAACAAGTGAGAGGAAGTCAGACAGGTCACTTGGACCACAGCTGGTTTTCCTAGGAAACGCAGTCCTGCCTCCAATTACCCAGGGAAGAGCACAGGCAGAGTCCTGCTCAAGCCTGCTGCTCCTGCTCAGCAACCAGTTACATTTCTGCCATCCCACCTGCTTGGTATGAAGCTGGGAAAACACACTTGTAAATTATAAATACGCTAATCCCTATATCAATTATTTATGAACCCAGTGAACCATTTCTTTCATTTCATGTCTCCACAGAGAAAGGAATAATATATAAACAGTCCAACAAGTCTACAGAATCCAGTGACAAATTTCTGATAGATCTTTAAGAATACAGCCTACACCATCCTACACACAAACAGATTTTAAAGTGATTCAGTAAACTGAAAAGGAAACGTACTTCCCCCCATACAACAAATACTTGCATTAAAAAAATCAGTCTTTTAGGGGATGTTTGCAGTGACAATGAATGATTAATGAATTATCTGTCTCCTAGAGAAGAAATAAACATGAAAAATTAATTAAGTGTTCCAGTGTTTAGAGCAAGTGGAAAGAGGAAAGCTTTAGCCAAAAGAAAAATGAATTCACTTTACTTTCAAGATCACATTGACCGAGCTTGGAAATTATACATTAAAAAAAGTTTCTGACAGCATCTATCTACTTAAAACACAAGAACCACCACAACTGAACAGACTCATTAAGTCTCTTCTATGGATGAATTTCAGTACCTCACAATAGCTCATACTCTTTTAAGGTAAAGCTCTTATTAAGTTCTTTACCTAAAAAAAAAATACCCTTGAAATTATAAGCTCTACCACATTTTTTATCTTCATTTGGGAATCTGAGCTATATGAGCAGCCATGTTATAGAATGCTGGGCCAAAGGACAGTTCCCTTGGTTAGGAGAAGCATTGGAAAGAAAAGATAACCCTCATAAATGGGATAATAATTCAATGATAGAAAAAATAGTATATTATTATTATTATTACTATTATTGTAATGACAAGTGGGGGGTAGAGAGAGTTACAAACACAAGAGAAAAAAGTGATGCATGATACAGCTGCTCACCATGCAGCATATCCCCAAACAGAAGCCAGACTCCTCCCAGGTAACTCCACCAGTTTGCATACTGGGCATGATCTTCTCTGGTGTGAAACATCTCTTTGGCCAGTTTGTGTCAGCTTACCTGGCCTCATTCCCTACCAGCACTGAGCGCAGCTCCTCAGAGCAGAGTGTGAGACACTGAGAAGTCCTTTACTTGGGATAAACAGTACTGAGCAACAGCCAAAACATTATTCTTGCCATAAATCAAAAAAAGAGTTCGGTACTAGGGAGAAAATTAGCCATGTCACAGCCAAAACCAGAACAGAATTGTTATCCCAGATAAATCAGGTTAACCCAATTGTAGTAAATTCTTTGGCACTTTCTTGTCTCACAACTGTTTCAGAAAACACACTTTGCTTTGTAGAGGCTAGACCCACACAGACACTTAAAGTACAAACACATGCTGGTGTTGCCAGTAGAACCCTGATACTTGCTTTTCTTCTCCTGCATGCTAACTGTGGTTCTGTCACACTTTACCTTTCCAAGCACAGCCAGTTCTCCATAAGTAATAATCCCTCTAAACAGAATTAAAGAATTTTTGGCTTGGAAGGGACCTTAAAGATCACTTAATTCCAACTCCCCTGCTATG